CACTTATTCTTCAAGCGCGCGAGGTCACCATTTTCTTTCAAAGACAGAACTGCAAGATTAAGACGATCTCTGAAAGGAAAAAAAAACGTATGACAGAAAACAGAACTTGTTAACATCTTAATTACATCAGTCAGAGTTAATATTCACTACTGATGAAGCAAGCTACCAATATAGATCAATCAGAGTTAATATTAACTTCTGATGAAGCAAGCTACCTATATAGATCAATCAGAATTAATATTAACTTCTGATAAAGCAAGCTACCTATATAGATCAGTCAGAGTTAATATTAACTTCTGATGAAGCAAGCTACCTATATAGATCAATCAGAGTTAATTGCTTGCTTCATCAGAAGTTAATTGATTGATCTATATAGGTAGAGTTAATATTAACTTCTGATGAAGCAAGCTACATATATTGATCAATCAGAGTTAATATTAACTTCTGATGAAGCAAGCTTCCTATACAGATCAATCAGAGTTAATATTAACTTCTGATGAAGCAAGCTTCCTATACAGATCAATCAGAGTTAATATTAACTTCTGATGAAGCAAGCTTCCTATACAGATCAATCAGAGTTAATATTAACTTCTGATGAAGCAAGCTTCCTATACAGATCAATCAGAGTTAATATTCACTTTTGATGACAGTAAGCAGTCTCACTCTCTCTTAGTGTGGATAAAATTTGTTTGTTTGAAGTTTAGCACAAGGCTACACAATTTGCTATCTGTGCTCTGCCCATCACGGGTATCGAAAGTCAGTTTCTAACGTTGTAAGTCCGCAGACATGCCGCTGTGCCACTGGGGGGAGGCTGTTGATAAAGGCCTTCCATGGTTGATTTTCACCTTACTAATACAAAAGAGATCAATATCCAGCCAATAGACTTGTACCACGTTTGATAAAAGGGCTTCTCGTAGAAAGTTATCGGTTTGTTTTTTCCTTTAGCTCGGTGTGGCACGTACATGCAGATGGTGGTCTTACCCAGCAATTTCTTTGCATTCTCTCGTTCCTCATGGACCAACCACTTTGAAGTTTTTACAGTAATGTCACCTGTGAGCCAGTCCCAAATATTTCACTTTCAGTTTCACTCTTGGCTGTTTGTGGGAAGCTTGAATGCTCCACCAGCCTCATGCTCTATGAGACTATGAATGTCCAACCAGCGTCATGCTCTATGAGACAATGAATGTCCAACAAGTTCTCTCACAATCTTTGACGTAAGAATCATCTGATGGTAGGGTAGGAGATTAACAACTATAGTCTTTTAAGGGGTGTTGAAATGACAGTTCTGCTTCAACCTCTGCCAAATCTCTACATTTACTCTCTGGAAAGGTTTTCAAAGATCTCACTGACATCAAATTTTTATCCCACATGGGAAAGTCCGAGATCCGGTGGTGATAATTTATCTTATTAGTGGCTGTATAGCACAAGTCCACCACTAGCTTTCTCCTAATGTATCTTTTAGGCAAAAACCTACTTTGCTGGTGTCTATAGGGTCGTTGTGGAATTAGAATGTCCCAAGTTAAAAGGCAGAGGCTTGGTGACAGAACGTATAGTTTTTACACTTGTCTCTGCTAAGATTTTATTGATGTGTAATAGTGCTTGGATGGGGGTGGCTGTAGCACATTCCGCGACCTGTCTTAAACGCATGTTTCGTATCTGTTAAATCTTAACTACCTGTATAGCATTCACACTGATAAACGGCAGGGCATAATCCAGAATAAAGTTGATAAGACTTTAGTACAGCAGAAGCAGGTGACTCTCTATTTACTACTGTAGATTTAAGTACATTGATGCATTTAGTGTTAATGTGACTGGTGAAGTTGATTTTCCAGTCAAAGTCTAGCCCCAGAAACTTTAGTGCTTTTCCAGAGGGATAGCAGTGCTCACGAAGGGTAGTGGTGGCTTATCTTCATCAACATATCTGTTGTTAAGTGTGCAGAAAATGCTTGTTGTTTTGGTGGGATTCATAACCATTTGCTCACCCTTCTAAGGGTTGTTTGCATCTTGCGTTAGATCTCAGCTTTACTAAAGCTTCTACTGTACACCAGAATATTGTAAGCAAAGGTTAACATACAGCTAGTTTGTGTAGATGTTGATGATATTTGAGGCAGACCACTGTTGATTATGATCCAATCTGATATTCATCATCCATTCTTTACGATGCGTCTTCTAGCAGTTACTGCAGCTATAACATTTTACATTCGTTACATTGATGCATATGCTGAGCAATAATAGGTATTTGGTCTCAGTTGTAAGCATTATCAAGACCTAAAGCTATTATCAAAGTATTCTTATTAGCTTCAAAGCCTCCCCATATATCAACTGCGAATTCAACAATATTGAACAAGGCTTTTCTTAAACTGTGATATCCACCTTATGATGATGGTAGTAGCTGGTAATAAAGTCTTCTAACTACAGCCTTCTCTGGGATATTTCTGATTCTATTATCTTTAAGACTAGTGATCATTCGTGGATTAGAGGCATGGAAGTGGAGCGTGCGTGAAAATATGTGGGATGGTACTTTAATCAAATTGAATTGGGCAGTATTACTAAAGACGATTATTAGAACCCATGCTAAGACCGTTGCCAAAATCTCCAAGTTTGAATGAGTAATATAATTAATAGTATTCATGTAATATTATTTATATTGGAAACCAGTGTTAAAATTAAAAATCATTATTTAAAAAAATAATAATAAAGTATTATCTTGGGTATAGTTTTCAGTAAGGAACACTACAACAATACCTGGTTTGTGCAGTAACAGAACTCAACAACTAGAGGGTGGAAATACTGTACTTTAGATTACGATAAACTCGTCTAGCATGTAAATAAGTAACTATGGACGATCCCCAGAAAGATTATAATTCTATTTTTAACCAGCAGTGATCTATACTTTATGAATTTACAATAAAATATGATCATATATATATATATACATATTAACCGTTATTGTTACATACTTTACACACAATACAATCCTGTATTGTAACCATTATTGCTACATCCTTTACGAGTGTACAACACAATACAATCCTGTATTGTAACCATTATTGCTACATCCTTTACGAGTGTACAACACAATACAATCCTGTATTGTAACCATTATTGCTACATCCTTTACGAGTGTACAACACAATAGAATCCTTTGTTGTAACCATTATTGCTACATACTTTACGAGTGTACAACACAATACAATCATTTGTTGTAACCATTATTGCTACATCCTTTACGAGTGTACAACACAATATAATCCTTTGTTGTAACCATTATTGCTACATACTTTACGAGTGTACAACACACACTAAAATAATTTATTCTAACCGTTATTACTACGTACTTCACAACCTGCTGGGAAAATTCTCAAAATAATTAGGTGTTAATATTCAAAATATACATATAATTAACTAATCTCTCAATACATAACAATACTTCAGACCGGGGAAATCCGGCTAGTTTCATGCTAATTTCTTATTCCCAGCTCCATGTTTTCCTTTCTGTACTCACGTGGGAGTAGATGAATAACTTAACGGAAGTTATTGTGATTAAGTATTCTACAAGATTTATTATTCTTGTCAGTAATAACTGGCATGATATTTTATGTCTGCTTAATAAAGTTTCTGGTTAATGAATTCCACCAGAATTCAAGTTCTTGCGTGCGTGAAGCTTTCGGGTTTCTTCAGAAGCTACGAATATTTTCTGTTATGTCAGCTATTTTTGTAGTTGTAAGTTGATATCAAAATCCGTTAAATTTCGTAATTGAAATAACTCACCAGTTTTACTCCCATAAGTGTATCAAAATTTCTACCTTCATATATCTTGAACCGTAGAAAACACTTTCAATTTATGTGTGACATAACAACGCAATAAAAATTAAGACAAATACTTCGGTAAACAAACTAGTCACAATAATTCCTTCAGATTTTTAGACATATCCAGCTGAATTATTCCATACTCAACAGTCGCTTAACAGCTAGTTTCAACCTAGTTGACAACTGTTGGATTCATCATTATCAAACAACTAATGTCCAGCTGGTTAACTGTTTGACTCATCTTTATTGCACAACTAATGTCCAAATGGTTAACTGTTTGACTCATCTTTATTTAACAACTAATGTCCAGCTGACAAATGTTTAACTCATCTTTACTTAACAACTAATGTCCAGCTGACAAATGTTTGTCTGATCACCATATAACGATTAAATTTATAATCTGTTTGTTACAAGTTACTTGTTTTATCTGTGTAAAGATTCCAGGTCATGAAGCACATGATCAGATAATGTGATGTTGTAAAATGTGCATGGTCCTTTTCCATTTCAGGTTTTACCACTGTGAAGTTTTAAGAAGCTGCTGATTTTTACAACTTATTTTATTTTTGTCAGGGTATGACCAGATCCCATGAACATATTTATCTATCTGGCTTACCTGAGGTTAGAACCAAGTGGGGTAGCGACCCCAAAGCCCTTAGCGTCAAGATTTCTTCCCACCTTCATAGTGTCACAGGGCTCGCGCTCGTTAATGTAGTCGTTAGTAGTGGATTCCAGAAGATAGGCATACTTTCCTTTGGATTCACGGACTCGTCTGATACCTTCGTCGTAAGATGATGTGAAGACGTGCTTCCTGGAGTTCATAAACTCCCACATCCGGGCATAAACAGCTATCTTGGAACGCTAAAGAGATCGATGAAATCAAATAGGCCTTACAGGAGTTTCCTGTAAATTTTACATCCTTGTTTATAAGATACACAAGATAAATGTCCTGGTGACAAAACTATTAAATAAGTACCTATTCATCGGATACTAATAGGTACTACTAGTCCATTCATCAGATACTACTAGGTACGACTAGTCCATTCATCAGATACTACTAGGTACGACTAGTTCATTCATCAGATACTACTAGGTACGACTAGTTCATTCATCAGATACTACTAGGTACGACTAGTCATTCATCAGATACTACTAGGTACGACTAGTTCATTCATCAGATACTACTAGGTACGACTAGTTCATTCATCAGATACTACTAGGTACGACTAGTTCATTCATCAGATACTACTAGGTACGACTAGTCCATTCATCAGATACTACTAGGTACGACTAGTTAATTCATTAGATACTACAAGGTACGACTAGTTAATTCATCAGATACTACTAGGTACGACTAGTTAATTCATCAGATACTACTAGTCCATTCATCAGTTACTACTAGGTACGACTAGTTCATTCATCAGATACTACTAGGTACTATCTCTTGGGCACCTGTGTTAACTTGACACCGTCTACACATATTTCCCTGATCGTTATTATTATTAAATTACTATTTTATCATCTTAATTTCTAAAATCCAATTTCTTTTACTTTAATACCTGTTTTCCATTTTAAAAATGTTTACAGAACCCCTTCAACAATGTTTCTTCTAACAATATTTTTGTTAACGTGCTCCACGTAGTACGTATGTAATTTAGGATCTAAATATATTCTAACCCTTCAACGACCCTTTCTAAGCCTTTTTTCTATGAAACACGGCTTAAACTGCCCGAGGAAGAGCTTCTGCCCAAAACGTTGCAAATAATAATAATGTTTTTGTTATAGGCGCGTGTTTTACCGATTTTGAACAGTTTTCCATTATTTTTCCATGTCTTTTCCATGTGCTTTAAAAATGCTCGTGAGCTCCGGAGTAATTACTGGTGACAGACAAAGTTTCTGGAATAAAGAGTGAAAAATCTTGGTCAGAAGTAAAGTACTTTCCCCAAACAATTTTATATCTAATTTGAAAGCTTCTGTCATGAATATTTCAACAAACAATTCACCTGCTGGTCACTAATGCATGACTCTCTTTGAAAAACTCCTGGGTTGAAGAATACATGAGGGTACCGTACTCCACTTCAGTTTGTTTGGTGTCAGTACTGCAACATGACTTACTTTGAAAAACTCCTGGGTTGAAGAATACATGAGGGTTCCGTACTCCACTTCGGTTTGTTTGGCTAAATCCTCTGGTGAATTGATAGGGGTAACCATTCTTTCCACAGTCAAGAACGCTGCCAGGTTGGCGGTGTAGGACGAAATGATTATAAGAGTAAAGAACCACCAGACACTTCCCACGATTCGACCAGCCATCGACCTGAAAGTTAGGAACATCACCATAGTACTTGGTTCTTTCATCTAATGTTTAGAATAGCTGTTACTCTCACTGTAAATTATTCTACTAAAACTGATTCTTCCGATAAAACATGGTTTAAAATAATAATAAACACCAGAAATTAAATCACATAACGTCCTTCGAGGAGTGAACGTCTCTTAATAAACCTCTATTCTCTCTGTAGGCAGTCACGTAATACGAATTTAACACCTGCCCCAGGTACGATACACCCAAGTCACAGAAAAACGGGATTTCTAGGTTTTTTCTTAGGCACAGTACATTCAAATCATGAAGCCCGAATGTTAACCCTACTCTAAGAGTAATACACTGAAATGTACCGAAGAAGAACATCCGTTGGTAACACAACGTTGAAATGTATTTGTGAACTAGATATGTATAATTTCCTATATCTGGTGTATCCAAACACAAGACAAACCTTTAATTATTCCCGTACTTGATGTATCCAAACACTAGACAAACCTTTAGTTGTTCCCATACTTGATGTATCCAAACACAAGACAAACCTTTAGTTGTTCCCATACTTGATGTACCCAAACACTAAACAAGCCTTTAGTTGTTCTCGTACTTGATGTATCCAAACACTAGACAAACCTTTAGTTGTTCTCGTACTTGATGTGTTCAGAACAACTAAAGGCTTGTCTAGTGTTTGGATACATCAAGTACGGGAACAACTAAAGGTTTGTCTTGTGTTTGGATACATCAAGTACGAGAACAACTAAAGGTTTGTCTAGTGTTTGGATACATCAAGTATGGGAACAACTAAAGTTTGTCTTGTGTTTATGTAGTGTTTGGACACATCAAGTACGAGAACAACTAAAGGTTTGTCTAGTGTTTGGATACATCAAGTATGGTAACAACTAAAGGCTTGTCTAGTGTTTGGATACATCAAGTACGAGAACAACTAAGGGTTTGTCTTGTGTTTGGATACATCAAGTACGAACAACTAAAGGCTTGTCTAGTGTTTGGATACATCAAGCATGGGAACAACTAAAGGTTTGTCTTGTGTTTGGATACATCAAGTACGGTAACAACTAAAGGTTTGTGTAGTGTTTGGACACATCAAGTACGAGAACAACTAACGGTTTCCCATACTTGATATATCCAAACACTAGACAAGCCTTTAGTTGTTTTCGTACTTGATGTATCCAAACACTAGACAAGCCTTCAGTTGTTCTCGTACTTGATGTATCCAAACACAAGACAAACCTTTAGTTGTTCCCATACTTGATGTATCCAAACACTAGACAAACCTTCAGTTGTTCTCGTACTTGATGTATCCAAACACAAGACAAACCTTTAGTTGTTCTCGTACTTGATGTATCCAAACACTACACAAACCTTTAGTTGTTCTCGTACTTGATGTGTCCAAACACTACACAAACCTTTAGTTGTTCTCGTACTTGATGTGTTCAAACACAAGACAAACCTTTAGTTGTTCCCGTACTTGATGTGTCTAAATACTAGACAAACCTTTAGTTGTTCCCGTACTTGATATATCCAAACACTAGACAAGCCTTTAGTTGTTCCCATACTTGATGTATCCAAACATTAGACAAACCTTTAGTTGTTCTTGTACTTGATGTGTCCAAACACTACACAAACCATTAGTTGTTCTCGTACTTGATGTGTCCAAACACTACACAAACCTTTAGTTGTTCTCGTACTTGATGTATCCAAGCACAAGACAAACCTTTAGTTGTTCTCGTACTTGATGTGTCCAAACACTACACAAACCGTTAGTTGTTCTCGTACTTGATGTGTCCAAACACTACACAAACCTTTAGTTGTTCTCGTACTTGATGTGTCCAAACACTACACAAACCTTTAGTTGTTCTCGTACTTGATGTATTCAAACACAAGACAAACCTTTAGTTGTTCTCGTACTTGATGTGTCCAAACACTACACAAACCTTTAGATGTTCTCGTACTTGATGTGTCCAAACACAAGACAAACCTTTAGTTGTTCCCGTACTTGATGTGTCTAAATACTAGACAAACCTTTAGTTGTTCCCGTACTTGATGTGTCTAAATACTAGACAAACCTTTAGTTGTTCTCGTACTTGATGTGTCTAAATACTAGACAAACCTTTAGTTGTTCTCGTACTTGATGTGTCTAAACACTAGACAAACCTTTAGTTGTTCTCGTACTTGATGTATCCAAACACTAGACAAAAAATTAATTGTCACCAGTTTGGTTCGTTAGCTCAACGAATTACGTTCAATGAAACTGAATTCAGTAAGCTAAAGAATCTATCAATAATGAGAAGTTTCAGTCTTACAATATTGAAAGTTTTACTGTTATAAACTTTAATGTTTTTATATATAACAAGTGGTACTGATTAATAATAGTTTTTAAGAACTCCAGTTTTTCAGTACTACATTTAAAAATTACATCAATAAAGATATAATTGAACCATCACGTACGGTCTTCGTGAAAGTCTTGTTCTTGTTGTGAGGAGAGTACTTTATTTAAAATCGTGTTCTATAATAAAGAAAGAGTTGTTGCACATTCTACAGTTGTTTTTCTTGTTGTTTGATTCTTGAATACCCAAAGTGTGAATTTTTTATGGATTTTTGTTTGTGTTGCCATTAATAGATGGCGCAGGTGTTTTGGTTACATACGTAGATATTAAAATACACGTTACGTCCATTATAGTAGGAAGGCTAGCAACTGAAATGTTATTTAATATATTAGTAACACCTTTTGTTTTCAAATACTTAAACTGCAACCGGATATTTCTCGAAATGTTAGTGACACCGTTGGTTTTGAAATACTGAAACTGTAACCGGATATTTATCGAAATGTTAGTAACACCGTTGGTTTTTAAATACTGAAACTACAACCTGATATTTCTCGAAATGTTAGTGACACCGTTGGTTTTGAAATACTGAAACTGTAGCCGGATATTTATCGAAATGTTAGTAACACCGTTGGTTTTTAAATACTGAAACTACAACCTAAAATTTCTCAACGTGTTAGTAACACCGTTGGTTTTTAAATACTGAAACTACAACCTGATATTTCTCGAAATGTTAGTGACACCGTTGGTTTTGAAATACTGAAACTACAACCTGATATTTCTCAACGTGTTAGTAACACCGTTGGTTTTGAAATACTGAAACTACAACCTAAAATTTCTCAACGTGTTAGTAACACCGTTGGTTTTGAAATACTGAAACTACAACCTGATATTTCTCAACGTGTTAGTAACACCGTTGGGGTTGTAGTTTCAGTATTTCAAAAAGATATTTCTTAAAGTGTTAGTAACACCGTTTGTTTTGAAATATTGCAGCTGCAACCAGATATTTGTCCAATTTGAAGCTTTGTACTGTCAGTTTTGGTTTGTGTTTTAGTGAACGCGGATCTTTTCTGTTTCATGCACCGTGTTCAAATATAAAGAAATATATATTTTTGAATGTATTTTTAATTCTGATTTCAGAAATATAAATTCAAATTTGAGAAAGGAAAATAAATATTTTTAATATATTTTTTTATTTTGCTAGGTTAGATCGAGTTAGACTAATTAGTAAATAATTAAATGTTTATTTAAATATAAAATAATTTCAATTAAAAGATTCTTAAAAAATGAAAATATTTCCCCCTTTAAAAATCAATTCTCCAAATTTAATTTATATTTCTGAAACTTGCAGCAAATTGAAAGTACTTTGAATATGGTTAAGAGACGTAACAAGTGGAATTGTGGAACTAATCGTAACATCGTTTGGTGTCGTAGGCATGAAAATGATTATCTATTCAAGCAAATGTCCAAAAATAATTCTGAATGTTTACATTGAATTTGTTACATTGAAACTAGATACTTTGTATCATCTTGATGTCTTGCAATTCTTTTAAATACATAGGTATATATATCTAATGTTAAAAGTACTTCCTTTCTTTCGTAAGCAAAATAAAAGATATTAAAAATATTTCTTTTCATTTCTCTAAATTTGAATTTATATTTCTCAAATCAGCATTAAAACTACATTCCAAAATACATATCATTTTCTATTTGAACGCGGCGCATGAAACAGAAAAGATCCTTATAATTTATATCCCCTGGTGTTAATAAAAGTATTTAGAGAGCATTAAGCCGTTTTCTTATTAGACAGCCCGGCATGGCCAGGTGGTTAGGACGCTCGACTCGCATCCCCATCCCACCAAACATGCTCGCCCTTTCATCCGTGAGGGCATTATAAT